CAAAGAAATGCAGTCCAGGAAATAACTTCAGAAAGTAGCTTCAAAATACTTTAAGTTCTCTACTTGTGTTTCTCTAGCACCTGAAAGGGACACAGTCACAGTGACACTATTTATTTATTTATTTATTTATTTATTTATTTATTTATTGAGACAGACTCCTGCGCTGTCGTCCAGGCTGGAGTGCAGTCTCTCTCTCTCTCTCTAAACATTTTTTATTTATGTATTTTTATTTCATTTTGAGTTGCAGTCTTGCTCTGTCACCCAGGCTGGAGTGCAGTGGCATGATCTCTGCTCACTGCAACCTCTGCCTCCTGAGTTCAAGTGATTTTCCTGCCTCAGCCTCCTGAGTAGCTGGGACTGAAGGCTCCTGCCACCATGCTGGGCTAATTTTTGCATTTTTAGTAGAGATGGCGTTTCGCCATGTTGGCCAAGCTGGTCTTGAACTCCTGGCCTCAAGTAATCTGCCTGCCTTGGCCTCCCAAGGTACTGGGATTACAGGCATGAGCCACCATGCCTGGCCCACAGTGACACTTTAAACACTGCCCTTCCTCCTCCCCTGCTTCACTCACATCCAGTAGCTGCGCCAACCCTTTCTCTTTGTCACATAACTGAGTCCTCCTTAGAGGGCAATGGAAGAGGGGAAATCGGGAAGATGAAACTGGCATCTGGTTAGGAAAGAGAGAAAGCTCATATGTTGATACTTTTGATCTCCGTCCACCCTCTCTAGGCCTCAGTTTCTCTATCATTTGAATGATGGGATTGAACAAGATCTGAAAATTCCTTTTCAGTTTTATAATCTATGGCTCTAGATTCCTAAATCGACCAGCTTTGGAGGAATCTCCCCGTCCCTCCTACAGTGAATTTGGGGGTGGAGGCATCTCCTGAGTCCCTTCCCTCCTGCAGCGGGTTTGGGGGTGGGTGTTATTTTGTGGTGACTTGTTGATTCTTTCCGGCATCTGGAGCCTCCTTGACCTCTGTTCTGGATACGGGAGCAGCCGCTCACCCCACGATATTGCCCTCAGGATAGCCCAGATCACAAGCTTCATCTGTTTGAGAACCCAGCTTTCAGTGGCCGCAAGATGGAGATAGTGGATGATGACGTGCCCAGCCTTTGGGCTCATGGCTTCCAGGACCGTGTGGCGAGTGTCTGCGCCATCAATGGGACGTAAGGGACCCAACCCTCACCCTTGCCCCATCTTCTGGTCAGCCACGCCTCTGGCTCCAAACAGAATCAGTGCCCATA